CAAATGCAGGACATGCTGAATTTGCCATTTTCTTACATTTCAAGACATCTTCTGTAACTGCAGCAGAAGTAATAGAGGTATTGAAGTTGCTCTGAGGGTTTAAACATATCCATTCGATATTTTATACTGGAAAAGGCGCTATTTTAGTGAACCTAAGAGTTAAGATGAGGTTGAGAGCTCTCCTGTGCCTTTGCAGGTAGAAAGATGAATGCTTCCTCTGGAGCTGTGAGAGGTGAGAGAGTTTCTGAAGAGAAAACACTAGTGAGATTCTCACTGGTTTTCAGGCCCTGGCAGCTGCTCATCCTCACAGAAAATACAGGACTGGGGTCTTGCAGTGAAGGTTTAGAGCCCACACACAGTAATCTCTTTTCCAGAGCACCTACTGTCCTCTGTAATTTGTGTTTGGGAAACTAAAGCTTGCCAATATGCCATGATTTAAAGATTTCTTCCTCCTAAAAGGAAAGCATTTGCAAATGAAAGCAAGCCTTGATGTCCACATAGGGATTTGAAATGCTCAGCAGGTATTCCAAAAAGGGAAAATCTGAAAGAATCGAGAGGAGAGTAGGAGAGAAAATACAATAAAACCAAGAGGGAGAAAGAATAACTGACAATTTTTCTTGCACAAATCCAGATCTGTTATTTTATGAACATGTTACGTATACTTGAAATATGTTTAGACTCTCATTGTACTCAAGAAATATAAAGATGCCCTTTATAGTGTAACTTACAGTAGGTCTTAAAGCAACTAAACTACCATTTTTGTCCATCTGGATAGGTCTAGTGAAATACACACATCCTAACAGGTTGAGAAAAACTTAGGAGAATTTATTAATCACAGTGTCTGAATCTTACTTTTTCAACAATACCAGTTTTAAAGGCATAAATTATCAGTATTTTAAATTAATTTCTCCGAACTACTGCTTATCAGAACAAGCAATCAAATACATAATCTAATAGCTAAGGATGGCTTAATTACTGAATTCACCAGGACTTCTGTCACACCTTGTACACCCACTAATGTGGTAGGGAATCATTCTTTCAGAAATGTTTTTTTCTTACCTCAAGGCCACAGAAGTGATGCACCACATTTCCAGTGTACCTGAAATATCTGAAGGCACACCCGAGGTGAGATAGGGAAAATCATGTGGCACTCAGAATTCTGAGATTACTTACAAGATAACACTTAATGTTTCTAATACATAAGGTACATTAGAAGCCAGCTATTTCTAAAATGGGCTTCCACGAAATCCATTCAAGCGTCCGCTCTCAGGTCCTGAAGTACAGAGACATTAAGCGATATGAGAGTCATTACTTTCACACTGACCTAAGGATTAATCATTTCATCTTCCTCTCTCCTCAGCTGGTGGAATTGCCTGGGAAACAACCTGAACTCTCAGTGACCTTTGCTAACCAAACAACACATCCTCAGTGGCTTGGAGCAAAGTAACTACTCAGACCTTGAACCAAGATAGTTTGGACAGCACAAAGAGCTCTACCAACTGCATTTCTCTCAGTTAGCATGCTGTGAAAAGTTTTGGTTAGCACAAGCTTCTCCAGCTTTTTTTTTCAACTTTTAGTAAACTTATAATGAACTCACAGGCCCGACCAGGGAAAAGCAGCCACAGGAAACAGGGGAGACAAATAACAGCATCTCTTCCATCATCCTAATTAGCAACAGTGCTGCATCTAAGGTGGAATTTGTTAAGCTCTTACCCTCCCTGTTTACAAACTTAAGCAAAAGGCAAGGGGGGGAAAAAAACCCCCAGAGCCTGTCACATTACTGTAAAAAAAGAGACTGCTAGCACTCAAATAGCTGTTTATCAAAGGCTATTTAGTCTATTTAATTGCCAGCCACGAAGAAAAGAAAAAAGAAAAAAAAAAAAGAAAGAGCTTGCCGGATTTCCATTATTTATTATATGTGGAGTGACTCGCCGAAGCACTTGGAAAGATTTACTTCCCAGTGGTCACCTACTTAGATCAAGCACTAAATCACTGCCTCTGTGGCTGGTGTTTGTTTAGGTGGCAGCAGTTGAGCTGGACCAGCCTCCCCGGCCCCTCGCCGGGGTCTCCGTGTGTGTGGCCCGTCCGGGGCTGCAGCTGGATCCGCACACAATTCCCACTGTGCTCCACAGACATTGTTATTCCAGGGTCCTTCCCGACACCCCAGGCACCCCAGACACGGCTCCCAAAGGCAGAGAGCCACCTGTCCTGAGGGAGGTAAATCACAAACACGCCGGGATTTTCACCAAGTGCGTTGGAATTCTCGCAAAAACACATCGGGATTTTCACTGAACCCATCGGGATTTTCACCAAAGGCGCCGGGATTTTTAAAGGCACAACTTCTTAGGCTCAGCTGCACATCCTGAGGCACAGCCAGAACCAGTGTTTCTAAAGCACAGACATCATTATCTCTCCCGACCAACATTTCAAGGTAAACAAGTACTAAAACCCTTACAGACATTCCTTAAGATAAATTATTTTTCTTATTCTGTTACTTCTAAGCATTACAGGCACTACAAAACAAACATGTTACACTGTGCTCCCTCTAAATCAGACAGGAATTCTTCATGACTTAGGGAAGTTTTCCATCCATTCAAAACCCAATCCATCAGCACTCATCCATTACATAAACCTTACATATACATCATATACATGTAATATACATCATTATTACATAGTGATGATTATAAACAATTTTAAAATTATATGAAGACAGAGGTTTGGTTTCATTCCATCAAAGCAGTGCAGGAGCAGGTGTAACATCCTTTTGCAGTTCATGGAAGGAACCTTTTTGTTCATTCAGGTGAATCAAACACCTCGTTAAGTCATCAAATGGACTACACTGGCAATGCAGATAATTACAATGCATTTTTCATTCCAGTCCCTTTCAAAGCAAGGGGCACAATGGGGCTGCCACCAATTCCTCCAGAAAACACCTGGGCAGTAAAACAATTTTCCATATCAGAAAGCATTTCCCAGTAATATACCTATGTTTTCCTTTGCTTAACATCACCCTGTTATTTTTATTTGCACTTCTACAGACCACCCAACACAGTTCTGGTACATAATTTTTATGTGCCAAAATAAAATAATTTTTATTTTAGACTTTATGGAAGCAGAGCTTTAGCAAGATGCTACAAAGAAGGTAAAACTTATTTCAAATACCACGGTTTGGTGCAGCCATGAAAACAATAAATCAGGATGGCAAATCAGGGATTTGCCAGTCATTAGTCCCACGTGGGATGGAGAACTATGACAGAGCTCAGCTCTGGAAATTACTGGGCACAGGTGACTGCTGGTGATCAGCATCATGTTCGAGGCAGGTGCAATTAAAAATAATTAAAATAATTGATTTTGTGTATCTAAGCATGCATTTATTTCTAAAGAAATAAGGCAAGGCATGCTATTGATTTTTTAAGACTACACTCTCAAGCACCTATATACCAATTCCATGAAAAGATTTTGCAATATACTTACACGGATTAATAAGCATTTTGTAGCTCAAAGTGTAACAATGCATTTCAGAAGTTTCTGCATTTTTTTTTTTTACTAAAAAGTGTTAATTATTCAACTGATAATAGATAAGCACTGAGTTTAAGTCATGCTTAAGCTGCAGAGGAGTTTCTCCAGGCTTCCTCTGCACTAAATTTACATTTAGCTGAGTATCAGCCTGCTGGATGTACAGAGTCCAGGAATTAATTTCCTAATGTGGTATTGAAAGAGAGAGATCACAAATACTTCCACAGAGAGTTTGAAAAACATTTGGAACATAATCTTTTACACACCTGAAAGCTATTTCTAATACCTAATTCTATTCTTTAATTCTATGTAATTGCTTTGGCAATTTTATTTAGGCATTAGTTTAGTACAGAGGGAGGAAAAAAAAGTGCACTTTCACACAAGAAATCCTATCTTATCTAAAAACATTATTTCAACACCCAAAGTTTAAAGCATACAGAGGAATCAAGGTTCTTTGTATTTTCAATTTCTTTGGCCAGACTATTATTTTCCCAAATTGACATGAAGTTGTTTCCATACAAGTTAAATTTCTCATAAGCCTTAATTGATGGAAACATGTATTAGGTGACCCCACAAACACGAGGATGTTTTCACTTATTAAAAATACAGAATGTATTTAATCTGGCCTGTACATAGAACATGTGTGACATACAGCAGAAACAGAAAAAAAAAAAAAGATCCTTAACCTTACTGTTCTCAATTTCTGAGTACAGTTTGGTCCTAAACTTTCAAGATCTTTGTGAACAATCAAACAGCTCACAAGGTTTAGGGTCAGTATGGCCTTGGGTAAATTCACAGAAATACTTATAATGCAGACTGGCAGACTTACATGCCCTAACTTTTGTCTCCTCAAGAGCCAAACTCAGCTGAAATGTTCTATACTGCACAAGGAACAGGGCAGGTAAAAGAATAAAAAAACAAAAGGAGTACAAACTGGGATATTCACCTTAAAAGTTAGGTTATTCTTTAGAAAAGTTTTAACACAGCAAAGCACAACCTGAAATCTCCAGAAGTATCTACAGATACAGATAATACAGGTTTCTTTCCTGTTTTAAGAAGGTCCTTTCCTTTGCAGCCAAGCAAGCAGCATGGAACCACTTTCCCATTTGCAATTTAATACAACAATTTCAGCCTTAGATTCCAAAATATCTAAAGTAGTTAAAATCTTATTTTTAAAACAATGTTTCAGCATTTGAAAATTATCTTGCCTAAATTTTATTTTTTCCTAATTTAGGTGAGTTGTACAGGGAGAGGATGAAGAAACAAGGAAAACAAAAGTGCACAGGAGGCTACAACTTGAAAAGAGCAGCATCCATCCCAATGCACCCACTTTCTTTCTAGCTTGGCCCATGCAAGAGCTCACAACACTCATTCAACCTGGAGTGAGTATCACACATCTGATTTTAAAGACCATGACAAAATACAAAAATGTATTTCATTCTCACGGTTAAATAGTTAAATTTAAACATTTATGTACTTACAGAGCCATCTTTCAGGTTCCTTTCATAGGAGAAGTGACAGGCCTTATTCTGCCCATCTCTTGAAATCACAAAGTTGTATTTGCCAGCTGACTCTTCTCCAGCTATCAGTGCTTTCCTCAGCTCTTCCACATATTTTTCTCTGTTCATTTCTATGTCATCAGCCTCCCTACAAATGTCTGATTCAGACACTACCAGAAAAAGACATGTGAGGAATAAATATTCATATGTGTGGGAACAAGTGTGTGTATTATAGATTACATACAAAGCATCTATTAATATACATTTATGTATATAAAATACTGGGATATAAATATATTATAGATATTAAAATAAATACTATTATAATATATAATAATACATTATATATAATATAGATTTATATTATGTATTGATATAAATATATATTATAATATATACTATTATAATATAAAATAATATGTAATATATAAATATAATATATAAATATATTCTATATTATATTATAATATATAAATATATGTAATATATAGAATATCTATTTGCCATTTATATAAACAGTGCACGTATTATATATATATTTACTATATATATCTTAAAGTATATATCTATTTTTATATATACAATTTAAAAAAAAAAAAAAAATATATATATATATATATATACAGACAAACACTGACTAGTTGACCTTTAAGGTCCCTTCCCACCCAAGGCATTCTGTAATTCTGTGATTCAGTGAAATATTAAGAGATTATTCTTCCTTTAAACACATATTGTTATGTTGCTTCCACTTGTGGAAATGTAGCAGAAATACTGCGGTTTTCAGAAGTTCTGTCCCCTTTTTTTCCCATCTGAAAGTTGTTTATTTCCTATAGCTACTGATCCACAATTCTAGTTGCCTGAAGTCACCCAAAACAGAGTGAAATGTGAAATGTGGAATCCTGTGCAGTGTGAGGCAAAGAGGGGTAGAAAACAGTGAGTTTGAAATATTTACAAAGGAAGTGCTTGTCTGGAACAGTGATTTCAATACTGAGAAGATAAACTTTTAATAACAGTAAGAAAGCCATAAAAAGAAAGACATTAAAATACTGCAATAGAGCACTGTGGGTTTGTTGGCTTTTAGGTTGTTTTTCCTTGTATATGCTGCATATTCCTGTATGATTTCAAAGCAGCAGAACTGATCGATCATTAGGAAAATATGATATGGATAAATCCTCACAGATTTATTTCTTTAACCCAATACCAAGGTAACACACTAGATTACATAGCAATATTTGTGTGCTTCTCCTCCCCTGCAACGTTCACTGTTTTCCCTCTCTCCTAACACATTTCATCATCACATTAAACATACTAAACCCATAAAAGACAACTCCATCAGCAACTCTCACTCTCTCCCTGGTAGGTCTTGCCAAGGAAAATAATGCACAGCATGAGAAACCCAAAAGGGATTTCCCACAGCAAGAATATTCTGACCGTTGCTTTCCCTCCCTCCAGGTTTTGAATTTAAAATGGAAGCAGTCTCAAAATTGATGTAATAACTCTATAAAAGTGACCAAAATGTTTTGTTGAATGAAAAGACAGGTCAGTGCAGTAGGAAAGCCTCATGCACAACAACACCAACCCCAATGAAATTATTCAAGGGACTAGAAATTCAGTAAGAATTTTTTAGAAAGGGATCAGATTCTTCCAGAACAGAAAAAAACTTTCCTCAGGATGAGCACCCAAAGCTCACAGCAGAACTGTAGTGTGTTTCTTTCTTTCCTTTTTCATGGAGTGAGGTCATCCTGCTTTCACTGCCCTCTATTTTGGAAAATCATTGTCCTCCATTCTACCAGATGCAGGAACTGAACAAAATGAGAACTGTGTCTACCTATTTTTTCTATACACACCCAACTATAGAGGCTTAAAAAAATAAGAATCATCTTTTTGTGAATTCTAAACTGGGGATTTTGAAGTCACCTAAGAAGGAGAAGATCCTTCAAAAAGAAAAAACAGTATTTATCAGTGTTAACACCCTTTTTTTTTGTTTTCAAAATAACTTGACTTCACTCTTGTCAAGCCAAGAAAGAAAAACCTTTCATTACCAGGAATCAGGAACGGAATACAAGTATTTTTACATGTACATTTGTGCAGGGAGTCCTGATTGATGGAGTGTTTGAAATGTTAAAAGGAAAATGGAAGAGCAGATTTAATTTGCGTGTTGATTTTGATTTACATTTATCTCATCTCAGACCTATATGAATGCTTGGCTTGTGTAGGAACTGAGTAGGAACAACACCCACTGGATAAGGAGAAGGAAGGAAGAAAGGAACTACACAGATTTATCTTATAATTCAGACAAGGAGTCCAGAAAATGGCTTTGTCTACAATTTGCTCAAAATACATAATTCTCTCCTCCCTTTGAAATATTTTTGTTACTGAGAAAAGGGCTTTTGATCAAGTATTTGACATTTCTCAAGTACTTTTTCCACTGGGCATGAATGAGAGAATCATGCACATATGCAAAGACCCATCCTCTTACTGAGGTTTGGGGAAAAAAATCCCACAGGCTAAGTTTTTCCTGCTCATAATTTATTGTCCGTTTTCCTTCCCAAAAATATTAATTTCACCATGAAATACAGCTACCTTTGGCTATTTAAATTCCACAAAAATACTTAAAATACATCTGCAATTAAAGCCTTTATGGACTCCAATTTGCAAATGGAACTTTGCATACACATTTGTTTGAGAATCTGGAGAAGACGCAGAAGTGTTACTTCAGCATCACTCCAAAAAATTATACATTCTTGAGAAAGAACAAAACATTGCATATCCATGTACTGAATGAATTAGTTTTAGCTTTGACACACAACATCTCCAGACTTCAAAGTTCTGTGGCCCATCCCAGATCATGAACCCTACCTCCTCCATCACTGGGGACAAAATGCCCACGAAATTTCCATAAAAATTGTGAGACACAGCTTAGAAAGTGTTTTAAAAGGAGCAATTAAAAGCAGTAATAATTGATATTAATGCATTTTTCCTTCCATTACCTGTCCCAGTCCAGGCACACTGACAATCACTAAGAAGTAAACCAAAGCCAGTGCCTAAATCCTTTTCCCATGACACCTGTAGAAAATAGGTTGCTTCTGGATCAGAAACTGGATGAATTCTGTTCAAAGTCGTCTCCATCTTCTTCTCCCACCTGTTTAAAAAGCAAGATAATCTTGTTATAACCACTGGGGTGATTAACAGCTTTACATAACTAGATTGGGAGTTGTATATGTGGGGAATATACAAATACAAACGTGCTTGCAATTTCATTCTACTTTCCTCCCCAGATTCATTTTGTCAGAGAACTGGTGATACTTTAAACAGGAAACTGGATTATAATAAGTTAGGTTTCAGTGCCAACAATTACACATATCTGAATAGCCTCAAATTAAGAAGCTGTCAGGAAGCTGAGGGACAGGAAATTACTACAGTCAAGCAATTCCCCAGGGGTCTGTTTTTAACTCAGTCTGCTATCACCCCAAGTGCAGAATATTTAACATAATTCAAAATAATCAATATTCATCTGGAAGACTGCCACCTGAAAGCTGCCACGAAGCTCCACAGCAAAGCAGAGGGTGTAGCAAATGCCAGCAACTCAAAGGAAGTATCTTAAGCACTGGATTCTGCAGAGAACAAAATATATGATGTTACAGTGAGTATTTTTGCTCTTTGGCAAAGCAACTTGGCAACCTGTGCTTGACCTAAGATCTTCTCAAGAATCCCATGTATTTATACACAACCTAAGTGAAGTGACTGAGAAAAGGCTACATGGTCACTCACAGACTAAAAATAGCATGGTAAAGGAGGAAAAATCCAGATGAGGCATTTAAATTTAAACGACACTAAGTACAATGGTGCTTGGGCAGGGATTAAATGCTCTATGGAGGTTTCCATCTGAAGTGCAGCAGTAAATAATCATTACTAGGAACAGTTCAGGCCCTGAAGGGACTTTGCTCTCCAAGCAAGAGTAGAAGGAAGCTTTTTCTTTGCTCCTGGACATTGAAAAATAAATCTAGGTACAGATTTAACTACCTTGGCTTCCCCAAAAACTGGCATTTTCAGATTAGGAGGAGCATATTTAACTGCAATTGACTGAACTGTTCCTAACCCTTGCTCAAGTCTGCACCCAATAACATTTCAAAATGCCTCTCCCTTGCCCAGACAAGTGGATAGCATTCAAAAGCAGCAAAATATATGAATTTAAGCACTAGTTTTCAAGCATAAAGCTTTAGTATTTACATCTCTAAACCACCACTGCATTTACTATTACAGATGTCATACTCCAACTTTCTATTCCCTGAAAATGCAACAGAAACTAAAACGTTACCAAAACATAAATTGAAAAATTAATCTTGGTTTAAAAGGAAAAAAAAAGAAAAAAAAAAGTTTTCTAGTTCCATCACTAACCAGCTAGCCACTTCAGAAAATCTACAGCATGTCTATGCACCTGTAAGCAAGAACCAAAAAATTAAATATTTGGGGGTGGACAGCTGGAACAATGCCTTTGCAATTAGTGACTCCAGAAATTAAGGCATTTTAAATATTTGTGGGGCACTAACTGCCTAGCCATGGGTCAGTAATGAGCACAGGGCAGGAAACACAAGAATCCTCAAGTATGTTATAAATAAAGTTGACTTTCATAGGCAAGTTAATGAATTGTTAATGATGTAATCTCATTTTAAATTGTTAATTAATGTAATAGATTGTTATACTTAATTAATGTAATAAGTTATGAAGTAATGGGTTGCAGAGTTGAATGTACTGTAATATGAATGTATGCCCAGCAGAGAGGGGGTGGTGAAGTCTGGGTGAGGGAATGTTCCAGAGGGTTACCTCATGTGATGACAACATTAATATGAACTATGACTGGAAGACCAGTGGAGCCTCAGAATTCCAGAATGATTGGGCAGAAATGCACCATTTTATGGACCGACCAACAGTCTGGAAAAGGACCAATTAACACGTGGATTGAAAATGCACCAATCCTGCACCTTTCAGAGACTTTAAAAACCCTGGTGCTGTGCACTCCCCACTTAGGTCCGGAGAAACACCTTGTTGCAAAAAGATTGTTAATATTACTTCTGGCAGGTTGCATAGGCCTTAAGCTTACCTTGAGGCCTCGTCCTCTGTTCTTGCACTTAATAAACAGGCACCTTTTCTTTTCAAGATCATCAGCCTCCTTTAATTTCTTTTTGCCTGTTTACCACAAGCATACATGCATACACTCTCCTCTGCGTGCCAGATGCCCTTTTGCTTCTTGTTAATTATGGAAAAACACAGCTTCTCCTGAAATATTTTCATAGAAGTCCTCCTATGAAAGACAATGTTTTTAGAAGTATTTCAGTTAAAGACTGTAAAGCAGTAGCAGGCAACCCAGACAGCACACAGGGCACTGATGCATATATGTGTAGTTCAACAGGAAGGTTTTGCTTGTTTTATGTGATTTTTATCACAAAGTAGAGCAGCATTCAGTGAAAAATACCTGCACTAGAGGCTTTCTTATCAACCCAGACTTTTTATAACAGAAAACAAAGCAAAAGAATTACATTTTCTATTTATATAACGATAAAGCAAATGAAGTGTCTGTCAGAAAAAGTGAGGTCAAGAGTAGCAGAGGAAAGAAGCCTGTTTATTTATTTAAAGATGCACTAACAAGGTCTCTGAGGACTGAGACTAAATTCATTTGATACAGAGACACTGGTTTCCCATGCACACATCAGTATTTCATTACAGTGACGTAGCACAGCTAAAAATGAAAGTTCTGTTTAGACAACACAATTGGTACCCCTGTGGTAAAACACAACCTCAACAGAATGAGGTGACATAACCAAGAATAATACCCTGAACATCGAAACAAATGGAAAATACAGTTTTCCTGCTTTTCCACGTTATTGTGCAGTTCTGAAAAAAAGCATTTTCCAAGAATGCATAAAAGGAAGATACTTTTTTTCTCCCAGCTTTCATCTCCTCCCCAGTGCTCACTAGCCTTTTGAAAGGAGTATATTAGTTATTACTCCATCTTTAGGATCTGCCTCTGTAAGCAGAGCTCAGCCAGACTCCATCTCCAAAGCACTCAACCCTTCCAACCCATCAGCAAAAGCTCAAGGACTCCGGGCTGTATACAATGCCTATTATATAGTTCTCTTCAAGAGGAGGGGAAAAATGCATTAATGAAAATTAGTGTGCCCTACACAGTACAAAAAACATCACTGCAAACAGTAATATTGTACCCTACTGATTTTTTGAAAGCAAAACAATTACAACAACAAACTAAAAATCCAAATCCCTTTTTCCCTTATCCCTTTTATGTCCTGAAAACACAGAGTTGACTGCAGTGTTCAGTAAATGGATAAACCACACACAGTTCAAGCATGAATACAGCAAAAACAGCAAAGGAGTTCCCTACTTATTTAACAACTAGCAGTTACCACTAAAGAAATTAAAAATACAGACAATAAGTGAGGGCATATTCCTTACTCATTCAACTATAAGGTGACTGCATGCACTTCGTTCATTCTAAAGGTAAATCTTAATAACAGATGTACAGCACTGTATTTCCCAAAAAAAAATGTATTGCTCTGTATTTCAAGAGATGAAATAAAACAATCTCCTGAAACTAACCTGTCCCAAGACACCCACCTACTCACTAAATTCATCACCCCATCAGCTTTCAATGTGTCAAGCTTGTGTGACATTTCACAGTTCAAATACTTCTGACAGGTAAAAATTTCATTATCAAAGAAAGACAAAACTATAAAGGAGAGGTGAAACCTTATTTTCACTTTCACATATTTGGGGTAGAAAGGTAGGAACTGTGTTAATGCTCAGAAAGGTTAAAGCAGCCCCCTGAATTTCTGGAGTGTCACAATTTAACAGTCCAGCTGTTGGTGAAGCTTGTTAAAACAAAGTAAAATACAATCATATGGTAAAAGTAGACCATATTTTTACTGCTACCCAAATTACTGGAACCAGCCTCGCATTATGGCAGCCTAAAAAGCCCCTCAGAGTCCATCAGACCAGAGGAGCACCCTCAAGTGCCATTCAGCACCCAGCCCCTGTGGGCTCTTCCCATTCACCACAAAATGAGAGCAGTCAATTTTTTCTTCCTTCTCTGGTCATGACACAGCAAAGCTGCAGAGGAGTTTTGGGGCTGGGGTCACAGAAAGGCAGTGTTCCATCCCTGGGGGCCGCAGCACCAGCCCCTCTCCACGCCAGGGCCCCAGGGCCAGCCTGCAGGTGGGGACAGCGGGGTCCCACCCCAAATGTGTAAATCAGAGGCTTTATTGAGGCCTTTGAACAGTCGGGGATTGAGCTGTTTATCTTTAGCACTTTGTCCCCGTGGTCTTTGGCTCCTGTGATCACCATTAGGCGATGTTTCCCTCTGAGGAGGAATCAGCTGTTGGCTGGTGCCTCTGCCCTCGGAACAAACAGTGCACACAGGCCCTTCTGAATGAACAAGACACTCTTAAAATGGGCCCACAAAGATTTTTATATGTTGTTTTGGACAGCACCAGGCATAGACCAAAAGCCAAATCTTTCAGGCTGCTCCAACACAGCATCATTGATAATATTCTGAACTTCAGCACTTCATTTTTTTCTTTTTTTTCCTCATGCAGACTAATGGCTTTTTTTTTTTTTTTTCTCTCCCAAATTGGCTGGGCTGCAGGTGTTCCAAACCTCAGCAGCTATGCTTGGAAGGCTACTTAGAGACCAGAAAGAGCTACTATGTCTTTGAAATGGAGCAATTAACCTAAGTGCTTTCTTGCTGAGGAAAAATGGGAGCTATCCACAGGGAGTTCAGAAGAGAAGACACGCTGCTATTAAAGTTTGGTTCCTTCTGATACTGCCCAAACTACAGATCATAACCTAATAATCAGAAGAAAGTTAATAGTAAATTCATAATCAGAGAAGAGGTACTATTCAGGACGCTGCATATACTCCTAAGTAGATAATTGGAGATTTAAACCAGTCAAGAAAAGCTCAAGATTGCTTTTAAAGATTAAAACTAGCTATTACCACATTTTCTAACAGAAGGAAATAAGATAATGCCTATATTTATGCATATTTCCAGTGATATATTTCATATAAATTGATATTCTCTGGTGTTAATTGAAAATTCCATTAACTCCAATATTTCAGGAGTAAGAACATTAAAATACCTGACAAAAACCTCAACTCTCACTCCATTAATCTTAGAACTAATACTGATCCAAGAAGGACTTCCTCTTTACTCATTTCTTTTTGCAGGAACATGACAGGTCAACAAACATGAAGACAAATAACACAGCATCTTTCCTGTCCCATCTCACAATAATCCTCCCTCTGTCCACAATATATGTTTGACATTGAAGAATGATTCAATAATAACCTTCATGTGGAAGTTACACATAAATCTGAGAGCCAAAGAAGAGAAAAAATTAGGAAGAGCTTTGTTCCCTAATCCAATTTAGGGGGCTAAGACACTTTTGTATTACATGCACCCTAAGTAATATTTAGCTGTTCTTTTGTTTAACTTTACTCTGTATCAAAAGCACACGGGTTACAATTTCACCAGTCTCAGAGATAAAAGTAACGGACCAAAAATTAGCACTTGGATATGAGGAAGAGTGACTTTCCAACTTTTTGCAGAGGGGTAAGTGGGCCATTTAGGAAATTCAGTGCTCCATGGCAACATTTGATCAGGAGATCACGGGCACAACTGCAGAGTCGAGGCTCACATGGCTCACATTTGCCTTCCCACTGCTTCATGGCAGCCACAGAACGATTGGAAACATGCACATGCTTTTTTGTGCAATTGAATGTCCCCCCACCCCCCCCAAAAAAAAAAAGAAACCCCAAACCAAAAAACCAAAAACAAATTAGTTCTGAGCTTTTCAGGCTCCATGGGACAATAGGATATGGAAGATTTGCCAGAGAAGATCTGGAATCTACGATAAGGAACAACCCTTGTCAGGCTTATTTACTACAGTCACCAGCTGAAAAATGAGGAGAAACAGAAGGAAGCAGACAGTCAACAACCTTTATAGTAGGAATCTTACTAACAAGCCTTGATCTTAATTGTAGCCTGGAGGCAAAGCCCACCCTGGTGTCTTTCATCCTCTTGAAGTCTCAGGCCTAACCCACTACCCACTGCAGGCATCCAGCCTTGCCAAGCTCACTCACAACCATCTACATTAAGCTATAATAAGGTTAAAAAAAAAGGCCTTCAGTGTATTAAAATAAACAGCAAAGTGGGCAATTATACTAGTATATACTAGCAAGTAAGGGAGTATGCAGACAGATTTATAAAAGGGGCAGACCCTTCTTTCTCACCCGTTTTGTAACAATTCTTCCCAAAACTAACAGCAAATCCTCACTTTCTGATATGCACAGATAAACCAGCTTACACTAACTGAATGTTATAAACCTACAAAAGAAATAAAAATAAAATTAAGTCAGGCAACTATCATGTTTCCTGTTGAAAAAGTGAATTGTAGTAGTGAAGTTCTACTAAAAAGTGCATGTGGAAGGCAGCAAAGATCAAAGGCAACAACCAGCCCAGCCTGCAGAGGATAGATCTGGGATGAAAAGTCAGCAAGGCGTGCCTCAGAGACCCAGACTCCCTTTCTGTGCTGCTTCTGGAAGATGCAAGTCCCAACAAATACTTTATAGCTCTAACTTGGCAGCAGGACACCCTGGCTTTCCAAGGTCCTACCAAAGCCAGTGGTGGCACAGTGCCTTCACTTGAAAACCACAGGGTACTTATTAAGAGAAATAATTAACTTCCTCCTCAAAAAAAAATTTTAAAAAGACACACATTCCAAATATATATAATTTTCTGCATAATTTCTCTGAAAAGACAGCACTAAAATTGCTGTATGTTTCGCAGATAAAAAAGAGAAAAAGGAAGTTGGGCCAGACACAACCTTTGAGCCCAATGTATACAGCCAGTAAGAACAAAGATTTGGGAATTCCAAGTCTCTTAGTCATATTTTTAAAAGCATCTCTGCAGTTTTCAGTACCTTGGTATCATCCATTTGAGGATAGCAAAGTTGAGGAAATTTTTGGGGGGAGGAAAAACAAAAAAAAAGCAGCATGTTTTAATTACCCTTCGTCCATCCAAAAATACCCCGATACATATGTGTTTTTGATGTATATTTGGATAACAACGTAGTCTGGCTGAGGTATCATCTGTTTTCCAAAACACTGCCTTCTTTAGGATTAAATATTATCAGGATATTCAATACAAATCTGTCGCACAGATTTCCTTTGTTTTCTATTTTTCAGTCCCCACACAGACCTATACAATTCCACTCAGTCTGATGTGTTTCT